TTCTGTGGACTGATTGTTGAATTTTGGTTGCTAGGAGATGATTACATAAGTTGATGCAAATTCAGCTATGTAGTGGGTAATAGATTTGGGTTATTGATTAGTCTCCAGGTGCCTGTGCTTGATGAATTCATAGTTACAGGTGGTTTCTAATCTCTCCTCTGGTAGTGATGATACAGTAAAATAAAACTAATTTAATATCCTTCTAATTCACAATGCAGCTAATTTAGTTAATATCCAGCTAATTCATGATGCAGATAATTTAGTGAATATCCAGCTAACTCATGATGCTGCTAATTTAGTGAATATCCTTCTAATTCACAATGCAGCTAATTTAGTGAATATTTTGCTAATTCATGATGCTAAATTAGTGAATATCCTTCTAATTCACAATGCAGCTAATTTAGTTAATATCCAGCTAATTCATGATGCAGATAATTTAGTGAATATCCAGCTAATTCATGATGCTTCTAATTTAGTGAATATCCTGCTACTTCATGGTGCAGCTAATTTAGTGAATATAATGCTAATTCACAATGCAGCTAATTTAGTGAATATTTTGCTAATTCATGCTAATTTAGTAAATATCCTTCTAATTCACAATGCAGCTAATTTAGTGAATTTCCCTCTAATTCATGATGCAGATCATTTAGTGAATATCCAGCTACTTCATGGTGCAGCTAATTTAGTGAAATATCCTTCTAATTCACAATGCAGCTAATTTAGTGAATATTTTGCTAATTCATGATGCTAAATTAGTGAATATCCTTCTAATTCACAATGCAGCTAATTTAGTTAATATCCAGCTAATTCATGATGCAGATAATTTAGCGAATATCCAGCTAATTCATGATGCTTCTAATTTTATAGTGAATATCCTGCTACTTCATGGTGCAGCTAATTTAGTGAATATAATGCTAATTCACAATGCAGCTAATTTAGTGAATATTTTGCTAATTCATGCTAATTTAGTAAATATCCTTCTAATTCACAATGCAGCTAATTTAGTGAATATTCTTCTAATTCATGATGTTTCTAATTTAGTGAATATCCTGCTACTTCGTGGTGCAGCTAATTTAGTGAATATCCTTCTAATTCACATTGCAGCTAATTTAGTGAATATCCTTCTAATTCATGATGCAGATAATTTAGCGAATATTCTTCTAATTCATGATGTTTCTAATTTAGTGAATATCCTGCTATTTCGTGGTGCAGCTAATTTAGTGAATATACTGCTAATTCACAATGCAGCTAATTTAGTGAATATCCTTCTAATTCATGATGCAGATAATTATAATACGTAATTAGTTAATTAAACTGCATGTTTTAAATATTGATAAGTACATGTTGTACTGTATTTACTCTATTAGTAGTGCTTGCACATGTATGTAAATGACATAGGTGGTCAAAATTAATCACGTCATAAATCATATGACATATTTAGTACATGACATTTGTTAAAACTTTCTAGGATTGAAACTTATCCACAAGGTGAGCATTTCATTTCCGACGGTGTTTAATTTGTTAAAAGAACAAATTATGTTAAAACTTTGGGTGAGGATACTTCCAAACTGCTTTTAGCGCCATAATTGTCATAATGACGCATGTCTGCCTACTCATATGACATAACAATTGACGCGGACTCAGCAGGTGTTGTCCAGGGCAGACGAATAACTGCTAAAAAAAAAAAAGAGAAAAAAAACGCTCAATTATGTGGTATTCAATATAAAGATCCACTGTTCTGTCTTTCACCGATTCTCTAATTGAATATCTGTGGTCACCGTGGTTACACTTCTGCAGGATTGACGTGTGTAGTGTCTTTTTTTTTTTCATACCCAGAAGGCGCGTCTTTGTCCTGCTCATGTGCATAGCTGGTTTGCTCATTGCCATGACAATATTAGTGACGTCAAAATCAGATATTGCTCAACAGCTTCCCACCAAGAACCAGTACTCGTTATGCTTTACCTTACATCGTAACTATCTATTTCTGATGTCTGCGGTAGTATTCTTTCATGTAGTCTAGGTGTACCGGTACTAGCAATGTTTGTAGCAGATTTAATTTTCCATTGCTTGCCAACCCTATCAAGTTATATGGTAGAGTAACGTGCACACACTACATTAGCGGCAATCAATTCATCAATACTAGGCTTGTCTCTCTGCTCCCTATGTCTATCTCTGTCATTTGATGGAACCATGTGCCTGATGGAGAAGCAAGGTAAGGCAACAAATATTGATGGTGATTGTAATTTTCTTTATTGTAATAATATATTTACTAGTATGTAACTTTTTTTTTCATCATTATCAATGCTTTTACTTTTAACATGATTCAGTTGCCGGTATACTTAATTTCCCCGTCATGATACATGTGTGGTGCGTTGGTTGGTCGGTAAACTACAATAAAAATCATGTTTTGGTGATTTTTCTTATAATGATGTTTTTACCACTACTATATACAAATGTACGTACTGATGACGTGGATCATGCGTGCATATCTGTGGTTTGTGAATCTTCAATGCCTAGTGTATTTGTCAGCCTATTATTTCTAACATGTTTGGCTAATTTCACTGATTATCCCTCTGTACATGTATATGTACAGTAATAAGATGACATTTACCGACTTTCGGTAAACCCATATCCACTTGATTGTGTTACTTAACCCAAATTTTTCACATTGCCCAACAATCTTATACAGTTTTTGGTATGATTTGTTGCCCTATTGGAGCACCGATCTTGATTCTCCATGGGAGCACCGATCTTGATTCTCTATGGGAGCACTGATTTGGATTCTCTTTAGAAGCACTGATCTTGATTTTCTCGCGGAACTTGTTTATTTATGGGCGCACAGATCTTTATTTTTTTATAGGGTCATCGATCTTCATTCCCTAAGGGAGCACCAATCTTCATTCCCTAAGGGAGTACCGATCTTCATTCCCTAAGGGAGCACCAATCTTCATTCCCTAAGGGAGCACCAATCTTCATTCCCTATGGGAGCACCAATCTTCATTCCCTATGGGAGCACCGATCTTCATTCCCTAAGGGAGCACCGATCTTCATTCCCTATGGCAGCACTGATCTTCATTCCCTATGGGGGGCACCGATCTTCATTCCCTATGGGGGGCACCGATCTTCATTCCCTATGGGGGGCACCGATCTTCATTCCCTATGGGGGGCACCGATCTTCATTCTCTATGGCGGGCACCGATCTTCATTCCCTATGGCGGGCACCGATCTTCATTCCCTATGGCGAGCACCGATCTTCATTCCCTATGGGAGCACCGATCTTCATTCCTTATGGGAGCACTGATTTTGATTCTCTCTAGGAGCACTGATCTGGATTCTCTCTAGGAGCACTGATCTGGATTCTCTCTAGGAGCACTGATCTGGATTCTTTCTCTGAACTTCTCTGTTTATTTATGAGAGCACAGATTTTCTATGGAAGCACCGATCTTGATTCCCTATGGGAGCAATGATTTTGATTCTCTCTAGGAGCACTGATCTTGATTCTCTTGATCTTGATTATTATATTTATCCATAAACTGTATTCTCTGGTCATATTGTGAATATTGAATTTAAGTCTGTGCTGCTTTTCACACACTGTTGCTGTGAACAGTTTTTTAAGATTTAATTTAAAATTATCCAGAAAATAATGTAGACAAATTGGCACCGAATGTGTTGTAAGAGGGAAAAGTCTGAAATGCCATTTTTTGCCCCATCTTTATTGTTCTCATTTTCAAAATAACATTTATTAATTGGTTCAATTCAAATGGAAACTAGAAAAACAAGTTTGGCAAAGAAAACAGTTAATAGTCTCATTAAAATTTAGATTCAGTTCTTGAAAACAACATTGAAGCTGCATGTATTTAAAGTGCAAGTGAAACCTGCTTGTGTCTATGTCAGTGTACTTTATATTAATATTTGTATTCTGTAATGAAAACAAAGTCTCTACTCGACGTGTGTTTTCACATGATTTCCAAACATAATTACTTTTTTTGTAAGCAGGACCTGTAGGCCATGAATGTTGAAAATTATACAAATTATGATATCTGTGGTTATGGTTATGATACTCAAATATTTTGTATGAACTTGAATTTCATGTTTTATTTTCTCAACCTTAAAATGTCAATAAAAATCTAACACATGTCTGTTTCAACAAACAAGGTAATATTTAACCATACTAAAAGTTGTAATCACATTCTGTTCACCATAAAATCTGTGTACTGTTCTGTCTGCAAAATTAAAAGTATGTTTTTGTTTTAATGATGAACTTTATTTCTTGCATTAGTTACCTTGAATTATTAAAAAAAATCTTTCAAGCTTAATTTTATTTACTAATATGCACAATGAAATGTTGTGATATTGGCTGTTTGTTTGACTTGAAATGTGATGAGGAATCAAATGATGACACGGTTCTACCGTGGTGATACTGTCTGTATGTCTGTATGTCTGTCTGTCTGTCTGTCTGTCTGTATGTATGTTTGTTTGACTTGAAATGTGATGAGGAATCAAATGATGACACGGTTCTACCGTGGTGATACTGTCTGTATGTCTGTCTGTATGTATGTATGTTTGTTTGACTTGAAATGTGATGAGGAATCAAATGATGACACGGTTCTACCGTGGTGATACTGTCTGTATGTCTGTCTGTATGTATGTTTGTTTGACTTGAAATGTGATGAGGAATTAAGTGATGATAAGGATCTACCGTGGTGATACTGTCTGTATCTCTGTGTGTATGTATGTTTGTTTGAATGGAAATTTGATGGAGAATTAAGTGATGACGAGGATCTACCATGGTGATACTGTTTGAATGGAAATGTTGGGGGAGGGCTTGAGTTATAATTGTACACTATGCCAGTATGTTTTCAAGGTCTGATCCTTTGAAATTGTTTTAATTATTTGGAATTCTTGTTATTTGAAAAGGTACATGTATTGTAAAGTATGCGTATAGCGGAATAATAATAACAATTGTAAGTAATATTGTCTTTTATTTTGTACATTCACAGCCACTCCAAGGGGCCACAATATCACCGATGCCTACTTTATTACACCTCAACTCTGCCGACACTGTAAGTAAATGTGTCAATCTGCATCTCTCACATACAATGTAAAAAAAAAAACATTGGTCAATATGCCTGTATTCAACAATTGGAGTGGAATTTCATGTGAAAACCAACAAATTTTGAGTCAGTACTCAATATTGGTAATACCGCAGTGTGGTTGAATCAACTTTATTTCTTAGACTTTCAATTTTGTTCACTATTTGATTTTTAAAATTGAACAGTTTACTAATTCAAATTTTCTTAAAGTTTGAATGTGTTTTAATAATATTATATCCCACACTGTGACTTTATGTCATAAATGATTCTTCAACGTTTTCTCCACCAGTTCAGTTTTTTCATCACAAAATACTCCCGTTCATAGTCTGCACTTTCCTTCATAAGGATGGAACAAAAAATAGCCAAATGTTTTGAGTAAAAACTGAAAATTTACTAAAATTTTGTTTGTTGGCTCCCCAATAAATTCAATGTATCACATCCAAATATCTGTTTATCTGGTAATATTCATCTGATTTGTTATTTTCACAAATTCATGCAATATTAAATAATCTAGACAGGAAGACTTAAATTTGGGAGATCAACTTGAGAAGGATGCAAATGTGTGTTAAACTTGGTGTAGAATTTCAGAAAAGGATGTTGCACAAGGTTCTTAGTTGTAACATGAGGCTGGACTTCATGGTTTCATGACATTGCCCAGGGTAATGTTACTATTAGCCTCATTTTTTTTTAGGTCACGCAAGTTCTTGTGTGAAATGAACTGAATTTTTTTTTCATATTTTTGGTGATTTTTTTTTTCATGAAGACTTGCAACCAATTATGTCTATTTAGTTTATAATTAACAGAGAATATATAGAAAATACATACACAAAAGGGTTAACTTAGTAAAATCAGATATTAGCAGTAAACTCAGAAACCTGAAAAATAAAAACACCCATTATTGAACAGTAATGCTTCTAACCAATCAGTCAAATCGGACAAAAATTATTGGCAGCAATTATTATTCTGATTGGATGACATTTCATTTATTGCTGATTTACTGATGACATCACAATTATTGCTGATGACATCACCATTATTGCTGATGACATCACCATTATTGCTGATGACATCACCATTATTGCTGTGGTTGCATTGTAATATCATTAGAACTACAATTCTAGAACCATGTTCAACGGTTTGGCATGATTTCCATGTGGGTGTCTAAATTTGTGCTAGTACATATATAGCTACAGTATCATGTACTACATGTAGAAATATTGGCATATAGATCTCCACGCTTGCAACAAATGGATTTTCTGATCTATGTACAAACTTTTTGATTTATAAAGGACATTGATTCTAAAAAGCTCCAAGGAGTAAATGGTAAAATAAATCTGAGACAGTCTAAAAATCAAAGAAAATTTAAAAAGAATTCCTGTTTGGTATGGTAGATACATGGTGATGTATTTGGAATCATGGATGTGCAGTTGTTCATATCTCTGCACATGTAGTTTGATCCATCATTGTGTAGGTATTGTGGAGAAAAATTGAAGCCATTGTTTTTACTACAAAAATTTAGATGCCATTTTTTGCAATTTGTTTGTTAATTTTGGACTGGACATAATAGGTGATTTTCCGTACAATTGCGAGATCTCGCGAGATGCATGAAAGACGCGCGTCGAACGTCTGCTGTAAAAATCAAACGATTTGATTTTCAACTCGAATTTCTTTACTTCGTAGCTCACATCGACCGGCCGATCTTCGACAGAGGAATATTGCTTCTGAATACCCTCACTTAATCGAAATTGTCTATCATCAAATGTGGACAGCACATTATTAAGTATGGAAATGTCCCCAAAATGCTTTCGCGTTTGTTGAATCCCACGCGATGTTTGACGCCACTACGACGCTATGACCTTTGTTTGTCCTGTTTTTACGTTCGATTTCACGCATAACATGTGATTCTCGCAGTGAACGGAAAATGATCTATTTACCTCTTGTTACCTAATCAACATGGAAAGAGTTTTGCAGGTTTATTTTGTTCAAATAGTGAACTATTTGAATCTCTATATTTGTCAGAAACAAGGTCAAGTAGGTTTTGCTCAAGTTTGAGCCAAGTAGTTTCAAAAATATTGAATTGACCTTAGTATAGTATGTTTCATTCAGTGAACCCTAGAGGTATGTGCGGGTTACTAAATGACAATGGAAGCGCAAGGGTCATAAGATTCTATTGACTAATTCAACTGTGTATTGCAGGTAAAGACTACATATGGTCAAATGGTAAAGCCAGTAAGCTCTGCGAACTGTGTCACTGTGTGTTCCATGAAGTTTGTTCTTTACACGCGCCGAAATACAGATGTGAAAGGAACGACGTTAGTGTGCCTGAATATTCCCATGTATATGTGGTAAGCATCGACATGGTTTACATCAAAAGACTGGCTGCAGAAATAGACATATTCACTGGGTCGAAATTCAACAGATCTGATATAGTCACTACATTTTATATTCACTGGTTTGTGAAGGAAATATTACAATGTGGTTAAATTTGCCAGGTTTTTATTTAAAGCGAGAGGATCCTCACCTGTGCATGTGCGATAATTGAGTCCCAAACAATGACACACTCTAAGAACACAAAGGCTCATGGGTAGACGCTTGTTTGTAAACAATGACACACTATGGCCACATGACGTCTGCGTAGGTGATGACTCCCTCACTTTAACACATTTAGCTATCATCAAAATACTGTAAATGCATTAATTATTTAATGATTTTTTATTTTTGCTAATAAGTGAAAATTGCTAGATTGAATCTATATCAACATGTGAAATAACAATACAATTCATTGTTTTCCTGCCATGTTTGAGAACTTAAAACCCAGTGAAATTGCTCAAAACATGGAAATAGTGAAATTAAATGCCTATAAAAATAAAAGGTTTACAGTAGATGTAAATAAATCACAATTAATAACAGCTTTTTGCAGTATTGCCCATTTAAGTGGTAATCATTGAGTCATGATTTCTCATGGGATCGTTATACTTTTTTGTTAAACTTGAGTTTTACTTTTGTGATAATAAAAATAAACGAGAATACAATAATGTTTACTGTATGTTTTAAACTGACTACTGTTAAACTGTAATTTCACATGTCGTTATTTTAGCCTGTTAGCCAGTGGTCAAGAGATCAGGTGTTAGAATGGATGGCTGTCACAGATTTGTATCGCTATGCTGACCTCTTCAAGACAAAAGAAATTGATGGTGCAAAGTTGGAGTCGTTGGATGACCAAACACTTATGGTAATTACTTGTTTATGCAAGGATTTTTTAAACAATGGAACAGGGTCGTAGCGCCCTCACGCCATGGCCTCGCATCCTCTCACCCTGGGGAGCAGATCCTCTGGCAACCATAAAATTCTGATTGACCAGGGATCACATGCGGCCACAGTCTTCAACTGTGACCTGTCTGATAGTAATTTTGGCCCCAAGGAAGCCATAGAATGCTCCGTTTTAACTTAGAATTATCAAAAACTCAACACCCTGGTAGTGAGAACCCTATCTCCCCCACTTGGTGGCGCCACTGAATTGCAGTGCTCTCTCTTGCAGTTTTTCTCTAGAAAATCCCCTTGCTTATGCATTAGTTAGATTGTATACCTATAGAAAAGAAGGAACTGTTATTTTGGTATTCGTATTTCTTTCATGTATATGTCTTCAAATGAGACATGAGCTGTTTTTTAAGCCATGTAATAAGAGCCGAAATAATCTTTGTGTTGTCAAATGAGCACACTAAGGTAGAATGTTACAATGTTTATGCTATGTATATGCAGAAAAAGAAAAGAAAAAATTTGGTCACCCCAAAAAATCATTTTCCAGCTATTTGCTAGCTAATATCATAAGTATACCCCATGTCACATGACATATTATCCATTGGCCAGATAACTGGCCAATCATCACATAAGAAAGTCTCATATATAACTCAGGGTTGCTATGCCAACCACCTGTTGCTTCAAAAAGAGTTCTTAATCTTTTCACCACCAGACTTTCTCGCCAAACTATTTCTGCACTTTTTTTCTCATATTCTTCAATATTTTTGGAGTCAGCAGACAAAATTTGAATATATTTTCAGTTTTTACTCGAAAAATTTGATAATTTTTGTCCCAATCTCCTGAAGAAAAGTGCAGACTATAAACAGGACTATTTTGTGAATTTATGATGAAAAGATGGGAATGGTGGTGAAGAGGCTAACATGCGATGGTGTTCGTTGTGCTGCATGTTTTAAAATTTTCTATAAATAAATTTGGTATCTTACTATTCTATACATTGCATTCTACCCATTATAAAAATGACATTCTACGATGATAACTCTCCTTAAAACAACACTGTCGTCAAAACTGCACAAAGTGCAAATTTTACTTCATGCTATTCCTGTTCTTCTGTTGTCTGGTTTGTCTTTACCTAAATTGTGCACACTAAGTGCTGAACACAATTATAGTCACTTTATCATCACAAAAAACATTCAAATATGACCGAGTACGACACACGTACGACAGTTGTGTTATTTACTAGCTTGCATGTGATCACTACCTCCTTAAGCTCAACAAATCTCCCACGATGTTCCAACTAACCCAACCCTCTTTAGAAACTCCCTCCTTATCCTTAGCAAAATGATAAATTCAAATTTTATTTTGTTTAAAAAAAATAGTTCTTCCTCTTTTCATTCTCGTATGTTGAGAAATGGTAAACTCTCGGCCTGGTTATGTGGTCACCTTGATCATTAAGTTTTCATAATTAGTAGTCAAATTATAACCATAATAATGTAGGTCAACATTGTGTTGACATGGTTGTAAACAATGGTAAATTAAAAATGGAAACATTATACCTCGTTATGGTATTCTTAAATATTCATGATTAATACCGGTAGTCATATTATAGCAATAACAGTGATGGATGAGGTGACCTGTTTATTCATGTCAACATTGCAAGACATAGTTGTGAACAATTGTGAATTAAAATAGGAAAACACTATACCAGTATTTTGTAATGCACACCTTAAACAAAGGTCTCTATTAAAAGCTTGATGAACAGTGCATTATGGGTGACCATTGGAATAACCAGAACTGGGTCATATTTCCTCTATTACAATCTACATAACATCACATATGAGTATTATTTTGGATAAATTTGGTCAGAATTTCTCTTAGAATCTACACATGAAAAGTGCATCATGGGTAATAATTAGGATGAACTGAACTGGGTCATATTCCTCTATTGTGTACAGTGCATTGTTGGTAATTAGTTGGATCAACTAAACTGGCTCAAGTTCCTCTATTATGTACAGTGCATTGTGGGTAATAAATTGGACCAACTAAACTGGCTCAAGTTCCTCTATTATGTACAGGGCATTGTGGGTAATAAGTTGGACCAACTAAACTGGCTCAAGTTCCTCTATTATGTACAGTGCATTGTGGGTAATAAATTGGACCAACTAAATGGGGTGATATTTTTTTTTACAGTACTATGTACAGGGTTCATAACGTTGGGAAAATCCTTTGAAAGTCTTTGGATTTTTTGAGGTCTGGAAAGTCTTTGGGTTGTCTTTAAATTACAGGAAAAATAAAAAAAAATCTTTGAAAAGTCTTTAAATTTCTTCGTAGTAGTTAAAATGATTAATTTTCACTGAGTTTAAATTTCACTGATTTAGCATTTCAGGCATATTCAGTGGGTTTTAAATTCACTGTTTTATCATTTGGATCATGTTTTCTATGCTAAATTTTACATATTCACTGGTTTTTAATATAGCGCATTTTCCAGTCAGCGAAATAAGCAAAATTAAAACCCAGTGAATAATTAATCCTTTTACAGTAATTCATTTTATAAAGGCCCGTTTTCTCCAGGGAACTACCATATCCTCAGAACTTTGATGAGCTTTGTTGATGTTGGCCTAAATTAAAGGTCAAAATGTCTTGGGGGGGGGGGGATGCAAGAAAGTTTGGGAAAAGGTCTGGAAAAGTCTTGGAAATGATTTGGTTCTTGGTGCTATGGACCCTGTATTGTAAGCACAAGGACCAACGCTAGTTAGCTAGTGGCAAGCCCTCAAAAGAGGGTCCCAACATCAAGCCCAGCACGATCAGACAGCTATGGTTTTTTTTTTCATTGTGTCACAAAACTAAAAACATTGTTTAAGCACGAAGTCTTTGTATTAACAGGGCATTGTGGGTAATAATTCAAGACTATCTGAAGTGTAATAAATAGGCATGCCTATATCAGAATTTGCATAATAGATGAGTATTTGAGTTGGAAAAAAAAATTATAATATGCAGATTGTGTGCATTGAATTGAACTAGCTTTATTTCTGTAATGATTAGGTGTACCAGCACGTATATGTTAATTATTCCTGCCTAACCTATTGTAGATGACAGTGTACCGGTTCTTAAAATACTGTGTCCTTGTAAAGTTGCTTGCATCAAAGTTATATCCTGTCAGACAGCTTTAAAACTAGGGTGGTTTGTGATGTTTGTGAACAATTGACCCATTGTAACATTTGTGCTGGCTTTAACACCATATGTGACTTGTGTTAGTTCACAAAGTGTGTTACCTCATTTCAAAAGCAGCATGGTGGTTGAGGCTTACACAATTTTCTGATACTTTTGGAAAGTCATTTTTGTGACTAACTAATTTGCATTGATTTCTCAAAGTTAGGCTCCAAAATACCAAGAATTTATAGTGCTTTTAAATTCCTCGCAGGAGGATATGACAAAAACTAGTGCCTCAAATTTTATTTTGTTTCATAATAAATTCTTTACTATATTACTTCATCAGCTTCTATAACCAGTTTGGGAGTTAGTGTACTCATCATTTGACCTTTCTATACCATCACTGCTGTAATAATAATCTAGGAGGACAGTGTTTCCCTTATCTTTGCGAAATTTTCTCAGTGAAATTGACCAAAATTGAGAAACATTTATTTAATATCTTGTACTTTATTTCAAATGCACCTGATTTAAGGTGGTTTTTGGGATGAAATCACTTCTTTTCTCACAAATTGTCAAAACTCTGCTTGAGAATGATATGCAAATAAAGATGTATAGTTATGCTGAGAAATCTAGTGTATTAGATTCATTACATTTTGGGGTGGTACACAAGGTGAATATGAATAAGTTTGGTTTCATCACTGTTTACATTATTCAGGTCAACAAAAAAAGATATTGACCACTGTTGATTATTTGTATATAAACAAGGTTCAATTATGTGTTCCTTTCTTCACAGCGAATGGGAATTCTAGACGAGTTTCGTCGACAGTGCATTCTTATTACCAGAGACGAGTTGTGCCGGGGTTCATCGATAACAAGAGAAGCAACATCCACGTATTCGTCAGCTGTTGGAGATGAAGGTACATATGCCGTTTATTGTCTTTCCAACTATAATGCTCTTCACTACGTAAGCTGTAATGATTTGGGTCTGAATACTAGCCATGTTGGTTTAATTCTTTTGTTTAAAAGTACCGGTACACTTTGCCTGGTAACATATGGCCACTCACAAAAGCTAGCTTGTGAAAAAGTACAAATGATGCCCTGCTTTTCGTTGATGGAAGTCATTTGAGGGTCAAGGATAAAATTATGTTGTGAGTAGGGGTAATCACAGAATGAATTTTCACCGAGCACCCCGGTATTTGAAATTCTCCAGTGACTTTCTTTTCCTCATTCTTGCGTTTATTCTTTGATTTCACCGCTTTAAAGTGGTCAAAGCTGTGATAGTTAAAGGAGTTGTTTTATACTTGGATCACATTAACCACAAATCTGACTTTCCTGAACCCCATTTTTTGGGAAACACTCTGTGCTGTACCTTCTCCAGGTCATTCACAGGACCAAGCTATTTTTGCTCCGGAAGATCTTTTCCTCATTTCAGTCAAACTGTTAAAATGTACAATTTTGAACATATCGGTAATTATATTTGTGTACGTATTTTTCATAGATTCAGTTTGTGTGTACTACCAATTTGCATTGATTTCTGAAAGTAAGGCTCCAACATAAGTATCAATTTGCATTTAATTCTCAAAGTGAGGCTCCAACATAAGTACCAATTTGCATTTAATTCTCAAAGTGAGGCTCCCACATATGTGCTACCATTTGTATTTCCTGCTAGCATTGTTTGTTTTTCAAGGCTGTTTAGAAATAATGATTCAGATCAAATAGTCAATTTGTTTTTATTTAAACCATATTTTTATTTTCATTCATTTTTGACTCCCATGTGCGAAGCACAAAATGGGAGTCTTTGCAGTTAGTGTGTCTGTATGTGTGTGTGTATGTGTGTATGTGTGTGTGTGTGTGTGTGTGTGTGTGTGTATGTGTGTGTGTGTGTGTGTATGTGTGTGTGTGTGTGTGTATGTGTGTGTGTCCGACTGTTCCACTGCTATCTCAAGAACCATACATCGGTTTTTGATGAAACTTGGTGCAT